ATCAATACAGTTCACTGACTCCCGATGAAAATGCATATGAGGGTGCACGTGAGAACGGCATACTGCACCATGCGATAGGCTCTGGTTACACATGTATCTGAAAAGTTAATATACCATGCGTAAACGGGCTGTGGAATGATGTCCAAATAGTACATGATTAAGAGGAATGTATTTCCATGAAAGAACAATAAATTGTCACTTTTGATATTATATTTTGTATTAATTTTAATCACTGATAGTTTTTACTACTGATAACTGTCATTGTGTAAATTTAATCCCGCTGTAAAATTTTCCAATTTGTTTCAAGGAAGACAACACTCGAAATTAATTATTAGGCCGTTGTGTATGATTTTGTTGAATTCTCCACTATTTCTGTATAAAAAATGTGTGTCCTGTTTGCATTTAGCTTGTAGATTATCACTTTTATCGACACTTTCATCCTGATCTTGGTCAGTTAGCTATATATATAGGTGCTTGTAAATGAGTTGAATGATGATCGTTAGCAAAGTTGAAAACTTTCCCAAAATCTTTTTGTTTCATGCAAAAGGTATGATGTAAATTTCGATTAGAATACAGTCAATTTCACTCTTTTTGTCACCTGCCAGAGAAAGTTCCTTCCACCACCGGACATGCGCATTCCTACACTAGTTATAACTGGTTTCCCTCAATGTTGGGACCTGGTGAACTATATACTGTTACACCCTACATGTAAATGCCGAAAAATATAAAAAACAAAACAAAAAATACAGCTGAAAATACGAATAACCATTGAAAAAGACAATAAGCTAATAATAGAAGGCGTAAATAGAAGCGTGGATTGGCGCAAAGCAACCACGCCAATACAACGCGTGCCCGGCAGAATGATCCATTCATTGTAACGGTTATTATCTAATCAGTGACTATTTAAATAAAGGTGACCATAAACAAAGCTCGTACTTCAGCTTAATTCCAACATGTAATTTCAAACATGGTTTTTATCATATTTGAGCTGTCTATGTAGAAAATAGAAAGAGCAGTACACGTAGGATAATTGAACGTGGTAAAGCTCAATTGGAAAGTTTCACAAGTAAGTTTCACATCTCACTTTGACTCTAGTAATGAAAAAAGTGACTAAAGATGTGGATAAGGATATTTATATGCTCCTTCGAAATCGCGTTTTGCAAGGTAGACAGTGAAAGAATTGAAAAAAAAATTACAATGAACGTTTAGTATACGGAACTGGAGTCTGGGTCCCAGTTCCGTTTAAGAGAAAACGTAACTGGAGTCTGACACTCAGTTCCGTATAAGACCAATTACTTTATAGAGACTATGGTAGTCTTAATTTTCGTTTGAACGGTTGTTGGTTCGATTCCTGTCCTCGATTCAGAAATAACTACGGACCTTTGACCTTCCGTTTTGCAGGTAGACAGGGAAAGAATTACAAAAAAACATATAGAAAAGAAGGTCACTTTTACCTCAATGTGACCTATATGCTTTGATCTTTCAATTTAGGTTTTGAAAACATTTGTCCCGGCCATATCTTCTATTCTGTTTCACCAGGAGTATTCATATTTGGTGTACAATGACATCTTGTAATGGAGGTGTCCAAGAAATAGGTCTTTGCGACCTATGACTTGACCTTTGACGTTTACTTTTGAAAATGTTTTTTGGGGTATTTTACTAACTTCTATACTGTTTTTCATGGTATAACCAGATTTGGTGTGCAAGGACATCTTGGGATGGCGTAGTACAGACAGCAAGAAGAAGGTTACTATGGCCTTACTGTGACCTATGCGCATGCTTTGACTTTAACTTTTGAAAATGTTTATCCGGGGCATATCTTCTATACTATTTCACCTGGAGTGAATTGATATGTTGTACAAACACATCTTCCGATTGCAAAGTACAGTGTGTAAGAATAAGGTAAGTGTGTCCTTTAACTTGACCTCTGACCTTTACTTTTGAAAACGTTTGTCCGTTCTATATTATTTCACCAGGAGTATTCACATTTGGTATACAAAGCGATCGTGTTTTTCGGCTGGATCGGCTTCATCGGTCGAATCCATATCGATCGGCTTTTCCGGTCGGTTTTTGACAGCCGTTTTTATATCTGCCGACTACACATGCTTGTCCTGACCTATCGACTGCCGATAATATTACTTGCTGTCGGCAGTCAACCGTTTGGTTCGATCAGCCGCTTCCTACAGTATGATTGTTATAGATGCAAATACATATCGTTTTATTCAGAGACGCATATTGTAATGTAGGTCTCTGTTTTAATATATCACCTTCCTCCCATCGTCTTTCCCCCGCTCCAGCGGCGAACCAGGCACTAGTTTAGTTCGGTTTGACAGCTGTCTAAAGCAATTATTAACCCACAAATGATGATATAATAAGTGGTATAATGATCGAAAGCCTACGTCCCTGTACAGTTGGTCACTAACGGAGGGGTTGGGGTGTTGGGGGGTAAATCACATTCCCGTATACAGGTAATATATATATCTTTCACAACTTAGCAACGTAAGATTTCCCGTTTTTCTTTACTGTTAGTTGTAGCACTGACATGTCAACAAAATTGGCTAATATATGCCCCCCCCCCCATATATATTTATTGTGTATGCCTAATTACAGGTTAAACTATAACATTTTA